GCTTTTAAATCAATTAAAATACTTATTATCTCATGAGACATTCTTAATTTCATAAAATGCGTTTATATTTCTCAAAATTAGTGTTTTACGTATAATAAAATGTTTACTAAAAGAAGTTTGCGAAGCAAAAATGTCGGCTAAATGTCGGTTTATTTTATAAAACTATTTCAAAAAATGACGCTAAAAATTCAAACCCGCATAGAATTTCAGTTATTGGCGGTGCCTCTGTTCGATAACGATGCGTTAAACGTCCATCTATTTATACGTTCTTGAATTTATCGAGTACTTGTGCAATTCTGTTATTAGTCGCAATTGATTACAGTTGGGGGGGGGGGGAGGGAGGAAGGGGATAAATGTACAAAAGAAACCGTTATAAAGTTATTCCGAAAACAATATGACCCCAAAAATCTTCCTTATTAGGTGCCATAATACATTCAATTTTAATTGTAAAAGTACTATGTTTTTTTCAAAATATCATCAATTTTTCCCCTACAAAAAAATCAATAAACTTTGAACCCTCTGAGCTTTTGAAGCTGACTGAATTCATTTTTAAAGTCATCTTAAGCTCTAAACGACAATTCTAATTAAATATAAATATTAAAAAAAAATTCCTATGAAATGATTACTAACCTTTCTGGAAGACTCTATTTAATACGCTTACGCTAGATAACAGGCCTGGCGACACGGGTTATGAAGTGGGGGGGGGGGGGGGGGAGCACAATTATCAATTTGTAAAAAAAGTCCTCTATATCAAGGTTTTTCTTAAAAAAAAAAAGGTCTTATAGAAAAAAAATGGGATGTGCCCCTATGCCCCCTCCCCCCACCCGTGTCGTCGGTTCTGCATAATACTTACATTACATAAAACCCCTTAACCCCTTATAAAGATTGTAAATTATAAAGATAATCCAGTTTTTAAAAGTCATAATTCACAATTTCTTTTCTCAATTCAGTCCGAAAGCATTAAAAAAAAATGTAAACATGGCGGTCGCGATTTGTATGCATATTGCAAAATATTCTAAATGTTTATTGAATGAGTTATTTATATTACACAAAATGAAAATCAAATGGAAAATTAGACATTTAATTATGAAAGTTAAAAATATTGGTAAGAATATTTAAAGTTTAAAAAGGTTTCAAACTCATTATTTTGAAATAAAAAGATTTAAAAATTGCGTAAGTTATACTAAACGAGTAAAAATTAAAAAATTTCATATTAATTACTTTTAAAAATAAAGTTTATATCAATTACTATTCATTTTTTAAATATTCATATAAATTTTTTTTATTAACTAATTTTAATTCTACTTGTAAAACTAATTTATTTTGAACCTCTTGCATCTTATTTTGAACCTCTTCACATCTTAAGTCTATTTTTTAAATCTGGCACATTGTTTTGCATTTGCATTCGAAAGAAAAGGATCAATAAGGTTTTTTTTTTTTTTTTTTTTATTTAAAAAAAGTATTTTTAAAGAAATATATTTAAATATGACACCCTAATTTAAATTGATAAAAAGATTAAAAAAAGCTCAAAGAAAAATGTTAAAATAATGGCAAATAATTATACCAAAAGCTGTTCCTAATTAGTCACAAAAAAGTCATTTGACTAAAGTCTGAAAAGAAAGTATAAGTGAAAAAGTTGAAGTTGCTCTAATATTGAGTTGAAAATAAAAAACCTTATAATTGCTAGTGTATACGAATACTACGCCGGACCACACCAGACCACACCGAACCATACCGGGTATAAAAACAATTTTGGTAGAGCGAAACATACATAAGTTATATTTGTGATACATATATACAATAAAAAATTTAAAAAAAAAACAACTAAATTTAACTTAAAAATAGCAACAAGGGCTGTGATTCATGCTCCAAATGACTAAAATAGGGACAGGCACAGTAGAATATGCATACATCAACTGAAAAAAATAGGGACAGGTGCAGTGGAGTGTCCATATATTGACTGACTAAAATAGGTACAGGCACAGTGGAGTGTACATGCAGGTGCAAAGGGTTTTTGGTTAGGGCAAGCAGTTTAAAAGAATAACTTATTAATCTCGTAAAAAAAGCCTACCGCTCTACTTAAATCAAAACACATATTTATGAAAATTAATTCTTTTTTCAAAAAAATCAAAAACATTAATATGTGATAGGGGTGCGCGCGTGTGAATGAAATACACAAATGCAATAAAATTCTGACTAAAACACATATTTTTATTTGTGAGTGCACAATTAAAATTGTTATAAAAATTTAAATTGTTCAATTTTTTTTTTTTTTGTGTAAATTTTTATATTTGATAATTTATATATTACGAATGTAACTTATGCATATTTTGCACTACTAAGATTGTTTTTTACACTCTGGTGTGGTCCGGTGTTAGTCTGGTGTGGTCCGGTGAAGTCCGGTATGGTCCGGTGCAGTATTTGTATATACCCTATAATTCCTGTTTAATTTTAAGTTCTGTGTTATTATGCTTGTTACATCATCTTCCTTATATGATCAGCTTTATTAAATATAAATATTTTTTACAGCACAAGGTGAGAAAATTCAAACTTATCCTTAGGTAAGAGCTTTGATCCTAACCATGGTCCTAGTTGGTGATCAAATAAAGCCTAAATCCAGAAGTTGTTTATCATTAAGATTTAGATAAGTCATAAATAATGTGGTGGTGGTGTAATGGTAGAGCACTCACCTTATAAGCAAGATGTTTCGATATCCCCATCATGTCCCTGGTAGAACCATGCTTAACTTGTTTCTCTGTACAGCTACCTTGTTTGTCAAGGTTCATGTTTCGGAGTTATAGAGTTGAGAGAGGGTTGTAATCACATTTAAAGTAGCCTCCTCTACTGTAGTGGCCTTCTCGGCCTTTGGGAGGTGAATTTAAAAAAAAAAAAATTTAATTCTAAAATTATAGCTTAAAATTATAAAATACTTAAAAACTTTATTATTTTTTACTCTTTTAACAAAAGCTTCTGAAATCATATTTATCTCTATGACAATAGCCAATAATCAATGAAACAACTACTACTTTTCATGATTGCTTTTTCTCAGATATATTTGATCATAACTTAAATTTACCAACTTGTTATTATTTTTCTGAAATAACAGAAAATATAATTCTCTAGTTTTTAAAATTTACTTTTAAAAGGGCAATTCCATATGAAATTCCATATAAAGGACATGCAACCCTAAGTATTAGATTTTGCTGATTTTTACACAACTCAAAGATTTTAATAAGCTATTAAGATTTCATCATCTAATTCCAAATGGTTTTAAAGATACTTTTATTTAAAGACAAAAACCTACCATTTTAAAAAATGGCTTTAGTCTTTGTTTCTATTTTGTTTGCCATGGAAAGCCACGTATTTTGAGGCAAGGAATCCAATAAAACAACTTAAAAAATTTAAAAAACAACATAAAACCTGAAAGTTTAACCTTTACCGCAATTGTACTGGGGCAAATTTAATTACAAAAATGCTGATGTGGCCCAATATATATATATATATATATATATATATATATATATAGTATATATATATATATATATATATATATATATATATATACATATATATATATATATATATATATATATATATATATATATATATATATATATATATATATATATATATATATATATATATTTATATATATATATATATATATATATATATATATATATATATTTAATTACAAAAATGCTGATGTGGCCCAATATATATATATATATATATATATATATATATATATATATATATATATATATATATATATATATATATATATATATATATATACATATATATATATATATATATATATATATATATATATATATATATATATATACATATATATATATATATATATATATATATATATATATATATTTATATATATATATATATATATTTATATATATATATATATATATATATATATATATATATATATATATATATATATATATATATATATATATATATATATATATATATATATATATAAGTTGTCCTGGAAAGTTAAGTTAGAGTTGTTAAAAAAATATAGAAGAGTGGTCTTTTCTTTAACAGAAAAAAAAAGGTCAAATTTACTAAAATTTGTTACTTATAAAACAGGACAAAGCAATCAAAGCAAAAACAATCAAAGCAAAAAAAAAAAGAGTACCACTCTTAGGTGCTTAATAGATGAATGTTGTTATTCAAAAGTTTTTCCACCCACCTTGAGCTTTTTAAGACCCTCTCCCCCTATTTATCAAATTTTACCTATTATGAACAAAGAAACGGTATCTCAAAATTAAAAACTCCCACCCACCTGTTTATTAGGACTTCTTTCCCCCCTTTCTTTTCCCTTTAGAGGGTGAAGGGACTACATTTAGACAAAAATATTAAACTTGATTTGTCTATTTATCCAATAAGTTTAACAAGTTTATTATGTTAAATTTTGAATGCAAGTGACCAGTATGTTTTATAATCATTTAAGTAATAAACAATATAGTATCTAAAGTGTTTTTTAATGCATAAACTACATACCTATTGTACATTTAGTATTTTAATCCGGTTGTACAGCTTAGGAAAGAATGAGCAGTTTATTTGTGGGTAGAACAGTGGCTCACTAGTTCTTACTGTAAATTTAACCTAACTTTAACTTTTTAATAAAATTAATTACTCACTTCTATCATTTGCTTGGCTCACTCCTAAATTTGTATGGGTCAGAGTGAATTAGTAAGTAAATGTGCATTATTGTTTAATATATAAAATTTGAAAGATTTTTTGATAATTTCTTTTATTACTTTTATGAATATTTTTCTCACTTTTGATTTTCTTGATATTTGTTTTAAAAAATTGGCTCACTCCTACCTGTGTTCCTATATTTAATTTAACTGTGGTTCTTTAAGTTATTTTACATTTTAGGTTCTACATTTCTTTAAGTTATTTTGAACTTGCTTAATAATGTTTTTTTCCTTTTTTTTAATTTTTACAGAAAAGGAATCATAGCATTGTGGTTTTTATTCTGAAATGTTAGTCCAACATTTTTGGCAATATTATTTTAATATTCTTGATGCCGGAGATTCTAGAACAGCCAACTATTTGTTTGTTAGAGACCCTAAGTTCGTAATGATTTCTATAGTTCTTTATTTAACAATGGTTTTTGCTGGACCCAAGTTTATGAGAAATAGAAAAGCTTTAAATCTACGTATGGTGCTAATTATCTATAATTTTCTTTCTGTTTTATTTTCTATCTGGATGCTATGGGAGGTATAAGTTATTTTATTTATTTTTTAAGAGGAATTTTTATTTATTAATGAACGCATTGTGGATTTTGATAATTGTTATTAGTTATATTCAATAATAATAATAATAATAATAATAATAATAATAATAATAATAATAATAATAATAAGTGTAGTAGCAATTATTTAAAAAAATGTTGTTTACTGACTAAATAAAATAAAAATTTCTAATTAAAACATTTTTTTAAGTAGTTTTGAAATTTCATCTAATTAATTGTTTTTATAATAAAAAAAGAAAAATTGCATACTTAATGTGATTACTGGTATAGTTAGTAAAATTAGTGTAAGAGAAAATAAATAAAATTTTGTACAAATTACAATTATTATAAATGCTAAAACAAGTTAAGATAATAAAATGTGTGATAAAAGACTTATAGCTATACACAAAGCCTATTGATGAAATTTGAAAGCATTATTGTTAAAATTTATCACTTTATTGATAGACTTAATTAAATTTGAATATTAAAAACTTAAACTATTGCAATGGCATTGTAAATGGTGGGGGTGGTATATTTATATTGTAAATGGTGGAGGTGTTAATTTAACGGTAAATTGAGAGAAAAAAATTGAGAAAAAAAAAAAAAAAACTATAAATAAAGGAAACAAAAAATTAAAAAGTTATTTAAAAGATTTTGAAAGGGTTTGAATAAAAGTTATTTAAAAGATTTTGAATAATAACTGGAGAAAAAACAAGATTAAAAGATTAAAAGCAAATTAAAAAATAAAAGTTTACAGCATAAAAAAATAAAGATAAAAAAAAAAAACAAGAAAAAAAACTAAATAATTAAAAAACTTGTTATAAGAAGTTAAAAATAATGTTAAGAAATGAAAAATAATATTAAAAAACATCAGATTTTTTTATCAGAAGAAATTAGTCTTCATAAAAGAAAAGGAAAAAAAAACTTTTCATTTTTATTAATTTAGGTTATTGTTTATACTGTTGTGTATTTTATATAGTTATTTTTTTAATAGTTTTCATTGTCAATTGAATTTGCTGTTTTGTTTGCATAGTGTTTTTTGTTATTTATGTTTTTATTGTTTTTTATATATGCTCTCTGTTGTTTAATTTATATATGTAACATATAATATATGGTTAATACTGTGTGTGAAAGTGTATGTATAATTTTTTTTTATCTATTATGTCTGTTTGCTTTTTTTTATTTTGTGCACATTGTTTTTGAGCACATTTATTCTCTCTTATATCAGCAGATCCATCTATTCTCTCTTTTTTTGTTAGTCTTGGAATTTAATATTATTGTTCCAAATTTAATGACCTAATGAATATAGCTGTTTTTTATTTTGTTTTATTTGTTTATTTATTAGGGTGTCAATTCCATTAATTAGTTTTTAACTATATTAGTGCAGTGAACTTAATTTTGTAAATTGTAATTAACTTTTTAATTTTTAATTTTATGGTAAAGTAAATAAATTAAAATTTAAAAAAAAAAGTGAAATCCAGTATTTTTTTTAATTTAATAATATTATTGTATTAATTTATTTTTTGTTTTTAGTTTTAAACCAGTATCTTTTTTAATTTAATAACATTTTTGTGTTAATTTTTTTTTAGTTTTTAGTCAGTATCATTTTGGATAAAACTTTTAATTTATTGTGTCAACATGTTGAGGAAAATGACACCAGACTTTTGACCATTCGTGTAAGTTTTTGACAATTTTTTATAAGATTTTTTAAAATGAATATTTTTATTTTGATAACAGGTGAAATACATTATACTTTATTTATTTTAAAATAAAATTTTAGTTGTAAATATTGATTCAGCTAGCAGTTTTTGAACAAAGTCTGCTTCCACTCCATACATAGGTTTATAGCTTATAAAAATTAAAATTAAGCTTATAAAATTTTACTATTTGTTATACAGAACACATTTAGTGGATAAAAACAGACGTCATTCCAAAGTTTAAATGTTTTTAAAATTATTTTTAAGTATATATTTAAATTATATATATATATATATTTTTTTTTAACTAAATAAAAGAAAAAAATTTAGATATAAGCTTATTAAATAGTTTAAATTGTTAGGGGAATGGGCAGGAGTGAGTTACTTGTAAGAGTGAATCATTAATCCTATAGCTAAAGAAAGATCCAAAAAGTAAAAGATCCTAATTTTTTGAAAAGTAATTTAGCAAAGTAAAGACAAATTGTTGTTAAGATTATCCAGTGGCTTTTATTCTCTTTTTTTTCCTGGTCTCTGGTGTCCAGGAGTTGTAAATAATGTTAGTAGACATGAACTGCAATAAGAAAATATTCCATGACTTAGTGCCTATTATTTTTAAGCCTGGAATCCTGAAGTCCTTGTTGCCATTGTATGTTATACATTATAGGCTCCTGGATTCAAAGGTTGTTTATTCCTCTCTGATTTAAAATATAAGGTATGTTTTAAAATTCTAAATTTTAAAACACGCCTCATATTTTAAATCAGTGCACAAAATAAAAAATTAAGGTAGGCAATCAGTTTAACTGGTTAAGATATACAATTGACAGTCAACTGTTTTTATTGGCTTGTCAGTTAAAAAAAAATTTAAGTTTTATTTTCATTTTTAGTTTCAGTCAATTTTTGACTCATACTTAATGAACTTAATAAATAAAAAAAATACTTTGTGCTTTAAAAATAATATTTTTGATGCACTTATGCTTTACAACGCACAAAAATGTTCCTAATTTAAAATTTTATCACCAAGTTCAAGGAATCATGTTTATAAATAGAAACCAAGTTTAGCTGTAAAGTAGAAAGTATAAAATTTTAGCAAAGATTATATAATCTAGTTCAGTAGTTTATTTTTAGTACTAAAAAGTTAAGATAATTGAAACTGAATATTTAATACAAGAAGACTGCTGTTATAAAATGAGTGGAAATTACTGTTTTCTTGATAAGTCAATATTAAAATGTGCTAATGATTGCAGTTTATTTAAATTGCTAAACAAGTTAATAAGATTTATTCATTGAAATGACTTCATAAATGGTGGCAAAATTTCTAAATGTTTAAAAAAAATTTCAATAATAAAAGTTTAACAAACAAAAAACAACACTTTGAAAAAAAATGCTTTTAATTAACGAGAGAAAATAATAAAAAAACTTTTTTTTTTTCTGTTTTTTTTCCTGTGAGGTGAAATTAAAAATGTGTAAAAAATGAAGATATAGCTTACGTCATATAAAATTAATTATAAATTACTTATATAATAAGCTACTTTATTCACTTCGTTGATGTGTTGACAAAGTGAATAAAGTAGCTTATTATAAACCATACAAATATTTTAGACATTTTTTAAAAAATTAATAGTCTGAAATATTTTAGATGTTATGAATATTTGGTATTTTCAAAATGCATCTGGTTGTTTCAAAATACATGTTTGTAAAAACTTATTTTAAATAACTCATAAAAGATGATTTCCTTGTTTCCTTGATTGCACTAGTTTGATGTTTCTCATAATGAATCCATCCTGAAGGATTTTTTTTTCCTTAACTGAAGTGTTTTTTTCATTACCTGTAATGCACTTTCTATAAATTTTCCTACCTCTACCTCCACCTTCTCTCCTACCTCTATCTCCTAAAACGGCTCTCTGTATTCTGATACCCAATCATCTGCATTTTTATGTTTTACATGTTGAAACCACCTCAATCTTCTCAGACACACTCTATCAGATTCACTTACTGTTCTTTAAACTCCCTATAAAGAACTAAAACTAAATTAGATTTGTTGTTTGTTTACATTTATTTTGCTCCATGAAATGCTCGAAACATACATTATTAGCTACGCATAAATATACTTTGCATTTGGTACACTGATATTTAGTTTTCTTTTTGCAAAGTTTGTATTTGCAATGTTGTAAATTTGCGTTCTTCATTAGACCTGGCCAATGTTCAAATTTATCAAGACGAATGTCAATTGGAATATCTTATATTATATATTATATATATAAATACGTTTGTTGTCATGCCAAGCTGTTGTTACAGTTTTTGAGGAAGAATCAACAAACTGTTTAATGTAACCACGACCAGATTTTTTCATTTTAGATTCATTTGATTGACATGGATGATACAATAAGGTCATTTCATGTTCTTGATTTCCGATACATTCTTTGGTTGGGTAGTTTTACAATTCCCATATATAACACAATGCTGATGACAACACTTATTGGTTGATTGACATGGATGATACAATAAGGTCATTTCATATTCTTGATTTCTGATACATTCTTTGGTTGGGTAGTTTTACAATTCCCATATATAACACAATGCTGATGACAACACTTATTTCTTGGTTGCTTGAGAGGCCCAAATGTTCTGAAAAAGCATCAGTGTTTAGTGATAACTTTTGGCTTAAATCTTAAAAATCAGAAGGCAAAGTTTTCTTTTCTTGTTCTGATTCGGTCATTTTACTGCATCATGAGTTTTTTGCTTTTTTGAAAATTGTAAAGCAACCTCTTCATTCTCATCTTCCTCATTCTCATCTTCCTCATTCTCATCTTCCACATGCTCATCTTCCTCCTCACTAGTTTTGATTTCAATATCAAGTTCATTGTCATCAAAAGATTTTAATGACAATGAACTTTTCACCAAGTCGAGTTTGTCTTCACTTACGTTAACTTCCGGTAAAGGTTGTAAATTATCTTTTTTCTTTTTCAAGTCATAAAAAGTTCTAAAAAGTAAAAAATAGTAATAGTATTTTTGTTGTATGCATAACTTTCATTGAAGAGGACAAATATAAATAAACATTGTAAAAAAGCTTTTTTCCATTGACATTTTTGTGTTTTTATATAATTTTATGTGCTTAAATATGAATTAGAAAATCTAATAAGTGTTTACAAAATTATTTTTTTTATTATCATAAAGACTAAAATAAGAAAAATAAAGCTAAAAAGTTCCTTAAATGCATAATGTCCATTGTAATGGACCACTTAGGAATTTGTTAAATTTTGCAAATGAAATGATGTCAACTGCCTAAAAACTTATTATATTATGCATGTTCAATTATTTATTTGTTGGAAATAAACAAAATAGTTATATTTTCTAACAGCTATCACTTTATAAACATGATAGCAAAACCATAAAGGTAAACTCGCCTCATGTTGTCAACTCTTCTAGAAGCCATCTTGTTAAAAAATATTTGTACGGTTACTGGATTACGCATTTGTTTTTTAAAAAACTACAAATATCACCCAAGGCAATACAGTTAAGGTTTTTTTAGTACAAAGTTTTTCTCAAGCACAGTACTAAATTTTAAAATGTCTATTTAAATGGACGCTATGCATTAAAAATTTGAACAGGCGCTATGCATTTCTCATGTTTTAAAATTAAGGAGTTTACTTGCATATTTCAAATTAAGGAGTCAACACATTTCAAAATGTTTAAGTTACTTATTTTAGTATATGCTAAAAGATTGTATAATTTTGTATAACAAATTTAAACAGGTTCTGATATGTCTGGGTTTATTAAGATACATTTTTAACTCACTTTGTTATCGGATTTGACAGTTTCAGATCATGAAAGTAAAGTTCAAAAAAGTTAGGTTAAATTCAACCCAAATAGTTTAGTTCTTTTGAAGAATCTTATTTTGCTCTTTTTTTTGTTGTTTTTAAAAAATCTACTAAATATATTTAAATTATTATCTTTCTCTAAAATGGAGTGGATTTGGTTGACTCAACCACATAGTTAGTATCTAACAACAAATTTATTAAATTACTTAAATATTTCGAAATTTAAAGAAAATAACAAATATTTTATGAATTATTATATTTTATTATGCTTTCTATAGATTTCTATAGATTTAAAGTTTATACAGAACTTAAAGTCTTATTGAAAATTCTAAAGAAGATTCTTATCAACTGCTACTTACTAATAACTAAAAAAAGAAAAAGAAGAAAAAAAAGTATATTTGCCACCTTGACATAATGTTGTGTAAAAAAATTGTATATATACATTAGAATACATTTATAATAAAATAATGATAAAGTTTATCATTTATAAAATAGATCTTTATTTGATCTCTGTTTGTTTTTCTTTAGCTAATAGATGTTCATTGGTGGTATTTCTTTTCCAAGTTTTTAGAATTTATTGACACAGTAAATCATTTTAATGCTCTTTGTTAGTGTTTTTATGTTGTTTTTTATTTCTTTTCATATTGTTATTTTCCTTTATTTTTATATTTCTTAATTTTTTTGAAAAAATAGTTTTTCTTTGTGGTCCGAAAGAAGAATAACCAAATATCATTTCTTCACACATACCATCATGTGTCAATGTTACTTCTTCAATGGGGCTTGATTAAGTTTGCTCCTGGAGGAGCTTGTAAGTTCATTAAAAGAAATTTTAGTTTAGAGTTGCAATTAACCTGACTGCTATTAACCATAATTAAGTTAGTAATAGTCCATTAGTAAATGAATCCTAAAAACAGCCTTGCTTGCATTGCACTAGACTTTGTTCTTTGATAATGGCAGGCTTTTTAATGATGAAAGTATGAATTATTTAATAGTGCATTGTAATATGATAATAGTGCATTGTGATATGATATTATTGCAATTGTTGCAAATAAATTTATATCATGAGGATAACTTTGGTTAAATTTATTTATAAGGCTACATAATTAAGGAGCATTAGTGTTTTTGTTCAATTTTTATTCTTATTATACCTTCTGATTATTTTTACCACTTTAGCTACAATTGGTCCTATTTTTAACACTTTCATACATGCTGTTATGTATACCTACTACATGTTGGCTGCTGTTGGTCCACACATGCAAAAATATTTATGGTGGAAAAAATATCTTACTAGAATGCAAATGGTAAAATTGTTTTATCTTTATTAATAATTATATACACGATGTTTGATAAGTTTCTTAACTTTTAAAAATGATGGATTTTTTTTAAGAAGGTAAGTTTTCTATACTTTTTTAAATGAGTAATTTTTTTGTGTCAGTATTTTTCTTTATTTTCATACTCAGTGATCCATATTTTTTCAATGGTCCATATTAATATTACTGTGTGAACGTTTATTTTACCAAATAAAAAACAATTTAATCCTATTTTCCAATTAGACAGCATGAAATAAATTTGATTGAGTAAATTGAAAACCTTACATTTTTGATGAAATCATTTTTAATAAAATCAATTTTGATTTTATCAAATGACAAAGTAGAGTTGTTAAATGTTCTGAGCTAAATGGTTATTGGTTGATTCTACTGCAAACTTTAATTGCCAAATATAAGAGAGTACTTGTACAAACAAAAAAGAGCTAAGTATGTTAAATATGTTAAAATATGTTAGAAAAATTAATAAAAATGTTGTAAATTGTTGTCAAATAATCTGGTTGGATAAAACAAATTTTCTTTTTTTTTTTTTTGTCAAAAAAAGACATGCCACAAGGGAAAGAAGACCAATTATAAGGTTACCTGCTTCAAAGTGTTTTATAGTTTTTTATACATTTAATTGCAGCTTTACCAACAGCAAATTTTGTCATGATGGAAACTTGGAGGGACTATTTAATGCAGATTATTGTAACAAGTGGGTGTTGGCTATGTTTCACCAGTGTGTAACATCCCAGAATCATTTAAAGGATTTTGTTATGGTAGCAGTCAATGCTCCTTGTCATATTTGTTTGGAAAGTCATGGTCATAACTTACAAACACTTATCATTAATATAATAATAATATTTAATGAAATTTGAAAACTATTAATGAATATAAATTTAGTTTAGTATAGTAACACTAATTTAATACTTTAATATAGTAATTCTAATTTTGTAATTTCTAGGCTCTAATCACTACAGCAACTTTTTGCAAAGTATTCTCATTTAATATAAACATAAACATACCTAAGTTTGAAGTTTGCTCAATGTCTAAAAGTCATTTCTCAAAAATCAAAAAAAAACTGCTATGATCCCTGTTTATATGTATATAGAGAGAGATTTAGGCATTCATTTTTTTTGAATTCTGTAAAAACATGCATTAGAGAAAATTACTAACCTTCAACATTATATGTTAAAGGTTAATTTTTTTAAATCCTAGCCAGATTAGTAATCCTTGTTTGATTTCTAATCCGGCAAAGATTTGGTTTAAAGAATCCTTATTATACTTTTATAACTATTATCATGGCCTACTTAAAAGTATATGACCTAATATTCTGCATTTTTGCCAAAAAAAATAGGTCATTAAAAAAGTAAAAACGCTATAAAATCAAAACAAACAAAAAAACAAGAAATATTTTTATTCTTGCAACTACTTTTTGTTCAGCAAGAAATAAATTATTTTCTAACAGATATTACTTTTTTTCAATAGAAATAAACCTTTATTTAATAAAAATTGACTTTGTCCAAAGAATGTAGTATTGTTTATATATTTTATTGTTCCACATTAATAAAAAAATCTTATGTTAACTTTATATTTATAAAAGAAAGTCAATCCTACAAACTAACTATAACATCCGCACAATTTTTATCAATAATTACTTTTTTTTAATATTAAAAAATATATTAGTTATATATTACTGTAATATAATACTGGTTTATTAGAGATTTATTCTCAGTATCAGATGCTCAGACTGAGCACTTGTTCAGAATGACAAATCAGTATTGATTAAAAGTATACATTAAAAGTAAAATATAAAATTGAAAAAGATTAACAAACATAAATTGTCAACATATATTGTTTATCTGTTAACATTAAAACCTTGTTTAAACTTTTGGCTATATAAAGACCTGTTTCACCATTCTGTATATTTTGGTATATACATTTCTTCAAATATTAAGCAGATATCTTGCAACATTTGGACCAATTTTGAGTAATAGTTTTGCATATTGTATTTCACCAATATTACCAAAATATATTTTCAATAAGGAAAGCAATGGAAAATCTTTCAAATGAATTTTTAATGATGAAATAATGTATGCTTTATTTCTTTAACCAAAAAAAAAAAGATTCTGCATAATTTTTTACGTAATTAGGAAAGTGTTTAAACATACATATGCTGGACATTTTATGATTATAAAAAAACACTGTGTAAAGATAATAGACAACTCTTGTAAAATATTTTCATATAAGCTCTCAGCAACTTGTATAATAATCTCAATAACTTATGGTATGTAAACAATAACTTGTGGTATTAAATTATTAAGTATCTCAATAATTTCAGGTATTAAACAATAACTTGTAAAATACAACATGATTAAGTTTGAACATTTGGTAATTATATACCATACCAGCTATGTATGTGCTCAACATTTTTTTATTATTTACAATGTTAAACATTCTGGAACAGAAATGACCAGATCACTAATTACAAGAATCCCATAAGCATATATTAAATACATAAATACAATAATTGGATGTAGAGTGGGTATTGTTTTATAATCTTTTACTAAACAGATGTTTTAGCATGCTATCCTTGTTTTATTAGGCAGAATGTTTTAGTCAGTTCTCATTGTTTTATTAAGCAGGATCTTTTAGCCTGCTCTCCTTGTTTTAAAGTATTTTTTGCTTGAATATGTTTTGCACAAATAATAGATGAGTTAGTTGGCATACAGTTTAGCATATTTACAAATAACATTTAAACTTTTTATGGTTTGTAAGTATTTATCGATATTGACAAAACTTTTTGTAACTTTTTAAGGTTTGTAATTCTTCATTGACATTAAATAAAAATACCGTCACTACATCTTGTTTTAAATCATATAATAAATAGCCAATCAGACCACTTTCAATATTCTTTTTCTACTAATAGAACAATTATTACACTTTCATTCAAAACCGCAAAAAAACTGGCCTTATTTTCTTCAAAAATGCATTTTACTTTAAGTAAGCCATGCTATTAGACATGTATATATAATATAATATACCTTATTATATAACTCTTATAAATGTATGCATAATTTACATGTATACATATGTAATATACGCATATATTATGTATGTGTATTACTTGTTTATTACAATTTATATTACTTAGTAGGTTACTTATTTAATTTCTTGTTTTTTTTTTTATTTATTTTTATATTTAGGGGCAGTTTATTCTTATTTTTGCATTTTGTGCTAACTCTATATACGCGTGCCAACACGGTACGCGTGTAATATTCTTTTGGATTCATTTGGTTTATATGGTAACACTGTTTATGTTATTCAGTAACTTCTACCAAACATCATATAATACAAAAAACAAACAGCAATGTAAGGAAGACTAATGGTAATATTGAATGGTAACCATGGTGAGTTAGATTTTTTCTAAATTTGTTTTTAAACTTGTACCTTACATCATCTTAACTAGTTACCCTGTCCAGGTAATTTAAGTTGAGTTAGGCCTCTGTCTGGGTTACTAGAACTGAGTTAAATCTTAAACTTAGATAAACCCAGGCTGTGTTTTTATGGGAACGTCTACTGCTATATCTAACGGATAATTTTTAAATTTAAAGTTATTTTATTAGTTTTTATGAATTAAATTTAAAACTTTTTATAACTTAAGTTTAAACTTAAAATTATATAGTTTAAGTCTTTTTTATTTGTCTAGATAATCTCGTCACTTGCAAACGGAAAAATGCTTTATCTTCTCACTTGCAAATGGAAAAATGCTTTATCTTGTCATTTGCGAATGGATTGTGACAATATTAAATCCAAAATTAGCTCTATCAACTATTACTAGCTCTATCAACTATAGTTTGGATTGTTAAAAGAATTTTTTTTATTAAATAAATTCTGTTCAACTATAGTCGAATTTGATGCGTTTTTATTTTTTATTTAAAAACTTACAAGTTTTTAAAAATGGATTAATAGTTCACATGCATACGATGTTTTACATTGACATAAGTATTCCAATAAACAGAATAAAATTCCTAATCTTATAACATTTACTATAAAAAAAATAAAACAAAATGTGTTCATAACTTTACTCCAGATATCTCAGTTCAATATTCAACACCAACGACAACGTTGGAGCAACACCAACGACAGTAAAATATAAGTTTGTTCGCAGTGCCGTGTTGAAAATGGTTGGTATTCAATTAGTGTTTTTGGTGTGCATGTCTTAACCTTTTCAAGATGCAATTGAGAACATGATAGTTGTAATTAAGAAATCGCAATATTTAATTTTAATACAACATGTAAATAAGAAATCGTAATAGGTAATTGAGAATACATAAATTATAATTAAAAAATCGTAGTATGTAAATGAGAATACATAATTTGTAATTATGCATTCTCATTTACATACTACGATGTGAATTCACAATGTAAACTCATATAAACAGTTTTCTGGAACATAAATTTGAATAAGTTAGTAGTACCATATTAGGCACCAGCAATAATAATGGAATTGAAAGATCGTTATGTTATTTGTCAATATACTATGACCCGAAAGTCTGCTATTAAATTGAATCCGTGTCACGAGTCAGCATTTATATCACCAAATTAGGTTACATCCGCTTCTGGAGCAGCTGTAATTTTATGATTGATTCTAGCACTATTTGATATATTGAATTATATTATGCGGGGTGACAGAGTGGTACCCTTAGCAGCCACGCAATTAGGATTTCTGAAAAAGGGTTTTCAATTTTATGAATCCTTGGTTTTTACTTAGTGAAACCCTAAGCGTACATATTTTTTTTAAAGATTGACTAAAATTTGTATTTTTTTAACAATTTAAAAAGGGGTTTCCGGGTACCATGGAAACCCCCCTAATTGCGCTACTGCTAAGCAAATGCAAAGGTCAGTTTTTATTAAACATCTTCATCTATAACAAAGCTGCAAGCAACTACTATGACAATTTGAAGTTACTGGAGGAGAAAAAATGAAGTTTATAAAGCAAGATATCGATTAACAGACGACTACAAAGATTCCAAGTTATATGAATTAGGAAAACAAGATGAAGGGAGCGAATTCCAAAGAACTGATGTTCGCAGAAAAAAACTAGACAAAAAAGAATTTTTAGAGCACTTTTATTAGTCACAGTAAAAGGTTGAGACTTAATTGAATGACAAGTAACACGAGAATGAATTTCAGTATATGGCACAAGAGGCGCTAGCTCTTTAGAGCAGCGCTCATCATAGTATTTATTTCATAGAAAAGAGAAAGATAAGCAACATTTACAACGATGTAACAATTAATGAAGGTTGGCTGCAAGAGCTAGTCCAACTTAACAAAATGCTCGTGTTTAAAATAAAACTAGTTTTATTGACAGTACGAACGACAAATAAGTCGCCCAGATGCCGCTTTCAAGTAGAATAAAAATAAGATTTAATAAGCACTTGTTAAATACCTTTGATAGTGCATACAACAACTCTGAAGAATTTGCAAGAATTTGAAAATTCTGCAAGAATATAACAGGTATGTTGTCCGGACCACAATCTGTAAAAAAGTCTAACCAGGAAATCACTTTAGATACAGAAGCTGGAGTGATACGAATGTCAAGCAATCGATCAACCTGTTTGTTGGCAATATCAAGTAGGATGTGATTAGTGGAATCAAAAGATGAGCTTAATAAAAATATATTATGAATCAGCTTTGTCTTTAAGTGAGGTAACAAAATCTGAACCATGCAAGAGAAGTGGAATAACAGATTTGTACTTATTATAGACACTGTTAAAGATTCTCCAGAAGTCTTAGGCCTAATTTTTGAGATAAAGTACGAGATTTCTTGATCTGAGAATAGCAGGCTTTGAAGTTAGACAAAATCTTTTTATAATAGTTTTTAGCAATAGTAAACAGACTTCTGTTTTCTGGAGAATTATTTTGGTGATAGACAAGGAAGTAAAGGCTACAATTGGGAATTGCAGCAGCAAAAGGAGAGGAAAACCATGGAGAAGTGTGTATTTCTCCTAATCATGCATTAAAATTTTAAAACTTTTTAGTATATACCCATAACACTTCCACATCCAAGTAAAAAAGATGTTGCTGTTCAGTAAATATTGTAAACGCCTGCTGCAAATATTGGAACAAGCGTTACAATCTTTGGAGCAAGCGTTTGAAATTAAAACAGGCGTTTGAGATTCATGCTTAATAGTGATTATAGTTTCATGATTGACTGACTTCATATCTAAGAATGGTAATTAAACTGTATTATTTATTAAAGAAATATCCATAGGTGATTCTTGAGCACACTTTATTATGAAACCACCATGTTCTAGTGTGTTGCAAGAATCTTTTAAAATTAGTTTAAAAATTTTAAAACTTTTAAACTTAAACTTTTAAAAAAAAAAAAAATTTTAATTAAGTTTAACTAAAACGGAATTTCTAGTCTGCCCGAATTATTAATGCTCACTTTCTAAAACAATTTTTTCTTGCTTTTTTCTCAGTTGTTCACAAAATTCACATACTCTTGGTTCATATAGGAGGATAATGACGCTTTGTATAGAGTTTAATGATGCTTTGTATAGAGCTTACTTTCTGCGGACTTAGGTATATGGTCTCCGTATGACAAGTCGCTGGATGAGGATAAACCACAATACCTAAAAAATTTAAAATAAGCAAAACAAAAATCATAAATTTTTCAATTACAAAATTTAGTTAAACAAAAATAAAATAGCTTTTTAACTTCAATGAAAATGCATCTATTAGTTAATTAAAATTAGCGTTGCGTAATTTATGGACGATCTCTAATAAGCTGAGTACTACAAATACATTTTTTAAACCAAAATAGTCTAAAAGATTAATAGTCTAAGAGCTTTCTTACACCACCATGGTTTATGTATGTAACATACAACTCTACATAATTCCACAAAAGACTACTATAACAGTTTGTAGCAAAAATAACGACAGTGAGCGGTCATAGAGTGTATGTAGCATAAAAGATAATACCATCCATCTGCTGCATGTAGAGTAGCGTTTGTTATCTTTGGACATGTTTAGTCTACAAACAATTAAAATAAATTAATTAAAAATTACATGCTTTATTTGGCAACGAGTAATTATCAAAAGAACATTTAGGAACAGATGTGTTACGTAGTAGTACCATTAAAACACCAAAACATGTGAAAAATAAAAAACTTATTGTTACAAAATTATCTTGAACTAATTCCTTTAAAATTTGGGAAACTTCTAATAAAATTATTTTTAAGAAAAGTCTAAATGTATAGTAAACAGATAGATTAGAAATCCGTAAAGAGTATAAGTGTTAATAAGAATTGCATTAGTTATATTAGTTGTAATATATACTATATATTTTTAAACCAATTTAAAATATTTTCTTAAATACATTCTGTTTCATTCTCTGTAGTCTGCATTTAACTCGTTTCAAAACGTGTTTTATGTGTAATCGCTAACTTTTAGTTTGCGAAAATATAGTATAGCGTTAAATTACATAGTATTCTAATAATTTATAGTATTCAGGCAAAAAGCGTTTATTATTCTAAAAATATTAAATTTTGGTCAATCGACTTTTTTTCCAGCCGACTCATACCAATCAGGTTTTTACTGTTTTTATTGGTATTTAAGAAATAGTTCTTCCAAGCAGTGAAGGATCCGGGGCATGGGGGTGATGGGGTACACATCTCCCCATCAGAATTTGATAGTCCTAAAAATCCTAGAAATAAGGACCTTTTTTTTTAGGAGACGCAAATGTGATACAAAAAATACAAATATTTTTCAACATCTTACCTCCCCCTCCTTCCCATCCCTTCCCCCACCACCAAATATTTCTGGATTCGTCACTGCTTCCGTCACTTGTATTACTTCTTTTTATCTAAAAATCGGACACTCTTGTTCAATGCATAGCGATTTTTCTCAGATTATGTACTTATTACAATAATTTTGGACCAAATGCAAATGGCATTAGTTATACGAATGTAAAATATTTTAATTTATTTTAATGTTTGTCTTCTATCAGTTGTATAATAATTTTAAAAAATTTCGAGCTTTTACAGTATTAGTAACTTTTCTGTCAAATTCCAATTAAAAATTTATTTAACAACTTTAAATGTTGTTCATTTAATTGAAAAAAATAGTAGATTTTGGTACCAATGTGCCCAGGACCGGCGCGAGTATTTGTCACGTGGGTGGTGGTGGTTGTGGGGGGTGCCATTACAAGTTTTGTCAACTAAAAAAGATAAAAAAGCCTCGTTTTTTTGAAATTTGCCTACTGACTGGTCCATATTTGCCGACTGTCTGTCTAAATTTGCCACACACACCCCTCCTTCGCCATTAACATTTTTAAAAACTATTTATTTTTAAAATATTATTATTTTCTCCTTTTAATTTGACTCTGATTTGTGAATTCGGCTTGTCCACAGGTTGTGAAATCTTTCTCAATCATGATATCCCTGCAATATAAAGGTTTACTCCAAAAATTTGGATTCAACTAGTTATCCATTACAACTGCAGTTAAGTCGAAGTTTAAAACTTGAATCAGGTAAATGCATAAAAAGAATTTGTTAAAGAGTTTTAACCGTAATTTGTTAAAATTCTTTAACAAATATCTCTTCATAATTTGATACAAAGCACTAAAAAGAATGAAAATGATGATGATGTTGATGATGATGATGATGATGATGATGATGATGATGATGATGATGATGATGATGATTAGATCCTCTGAATTCAAACAAAGGAAACTTTAAATTAAGGCGCAGTTATTTTAAATAACTGTTCAATTAATAAGTTATTTATTCATTGAATATATTTAAAAATATAATAGTTTATTATATGTTTAAATATGTTCAATGAATAAATAAGTTATTTATTAATTGAACCTATTTAAACATATAATAGTCTAAGTTTTATACT